TATTCACAAGTATTAAATATTTAACATTGTTTTTAATCAACTTGCAATCTGAGAGTCAAATGCTTTATAATAATGTGAGCTTCCGTAAGGTATTTGTTTCATTTTACGATATATATTTGGGTATGTATGTGAATAAATTTTCACTTGCATGGTGATAAATTTTACATTAATATGAAAGCAATGCTTTCTGAAAAGGAAACAAATTTTTAAAAAAAATCATGTTTAATCTAATCAATTTAGAAATCTTTATATAGAAAAATTTAAAACAAAAACATCCAATTTATTAAGAACAATTACAAGTCGTCTTAAAAAAATCAATACATTACGCTAATTAAAGAGATTAACAAAGGGAAAGACGAGCATATTTTGCAAATATATATAAATCTTTGAAATACTTGTTATTCAATACTAAAATTTTGCTAATAACTCAAAGAAGCCATGGAAAACATAATGCATATAGTTTCAAATCCGTACGCTATTCTATTAGTATTCAAGAATTTAATGACTGCAAATACATTCCCTTCGATTAAAAGACTCCTAATTTATCCTTAGTCTCAAAGTATTTTATTTAAATCAATATTTAAAAAATACATTTGTTAATCTATATTAAAATATGAAGATATATCAACACTTACCCCCTTGTATTCAAGTAAAAAAAGAATATTATACGTGTATTTATGTTAATTTTTTACGAATAGTTACGATCTCACACCATGGTGCAGTTGCATTGAACAAAAAACAATTATCACCTCAAAGCGAATGATGTGCGTGCAAGGTACCAATTGTTTTTTCCCAACTTATTTTGAAGTACATCGTATTTGACAAAAAGAAATCTATTGCAGATTTCGGTGTTTAGAACAAGTTCAATTGCTGTACGGCGTTTTTAGATTAAAAATCAAATTGATGTTGTTTAACAGTAACAAATAACCGAAAGAGTTTGAAAAAAAAATTACTAAAAATGAATGTTTATTATTAGGATGATATCGTTGAAAAGGAAACTTTTACAAAGTTTGCTTTTAAAGTATAAAATATAGGAGTCGGCAAACTTGTATCTGTGACACGCAAAAACCAATCTGCCAATAGGATTCAGGGTGCCACACGATAGGAAATAATTCTTCAGGCTATGTTGGAAATAAATACGATCATCTTCGTTTGTGCAAAACAAAATTTCAAGTCAAAGAACGATCACATTGTTAATTATACAATTCATCAACTTTTGTTACACTGACGATAGGGTAAATATTTCTTTTAGTCAAAATATTACTTTTGAAAAATATCCACATTTCATATAATGTTTTGATTATCCATTAACTTAAAAACAATTTTAAACAAAACAAAAAAATTAATCAGCTTAACAATAGTAGAAAGATGGAAAATATTGAAAATAAAACAGTATTCAATAATAATTGGCAAATATAATATTTGCTGAGGAATACATTCTTACAATAATAAGCTTATGGAATATGTTACAAAAATGATAGAGTCATTGAATACGATACAAATGTAATAGGTTCATGAAATATATTGCAGATGCAACAAGCTTGTGGAAAGCATTCTGAAAGTAATGTGGTAGTGATAGTATTCTAGAATTATATTTCAGAACATAGTTGTGTAATAAATATGTATTCCAAATGTAATAGGATCATAGCACTTATGTTCTTTAACTAATTCGATAAAATGCATTTGCTAGTTTGACAATCTGATGTACAATTTGTTTCTACAATCTAGTCGAAACAATCTGGAGTTTTTGTAAGCCTTCACATCTCTTGAATTATCAACAAAGTTCAAAGTAAAGTGAGAGAATGTATTTTCTACCTTTTTTAATTTTCAATTCAGAGAGGACACAATTATAATGAACCATGATATCAAACTCGTCATGGGTAGGTTACCTAACTAAAAAGAGAAGGGTCCTTCATGTAAAGGTCAACCCTAAATTCAATTTTATTGGTCCCGCAACACAGGTGTCCATACACTAACTGTCGAAACAATGTGAAGAAGTGCAAAATGGAGGAATAAGAAAAATAGGGTAAGAGTGCGACATTATTTTTCCTCCCTTTGGTGTGGTGTGGTAGTTAGGAGAGTGGGTGGAAGCTGAGGTGTCGTCCTCGTCATTTGACCGTGGTTCAAAATTACGAGCTCCACCGCCAAAAGCCCTCGTGTAGCTGAACAGTGCGACGTTAATATTCACTCACTCACTTGGCGGCTTTTTTTTTTATTTGGGCAAAACTGGTCACGGGTATAATACGCAAGCAACCAATATGGTTCTACTGTTTTAATAGTAACAAAAATATGAAAATCTATTATGAAGCGTTACTGATGTAAATCATTTATATAAGTAAAAATCTATTTTCTCAAACAAAATGGTTTAAAAAGTATTTAGCGGTGTGTATCGGATGTATAGATTCATACTTAATTCTTAAGATGAACCTCAATCTCTTATATGGTTTGTAAAAATTTGGAAATATTTGTTTCATCATGCAGAAGAGAGTATTTTCGAAAATAGTATTTATGATCACATAGATTTGAGAGAAATAGTACGAAAGATAAGGAATAAAAGGTTCGGGCACTTACGTATTATCGCAACCTAATGGCGACATTATATGAAACGAAGCACCTGGTTGCCAATTCATCGCTAGTATTAATGAGAACTAACATTTATAACATTTTTAGGTGTTTATTTTGTGTTTTTGCCATTAAAACATGATTTGCGAGATTTGAGCCAATAAAACAGAAAAATACCCTAAATTAGGCTAAAAAATGGGAGATAAGGAGCATAGGCGAATGATATTTTCCTTCTTCAAATGTGTCTGTTTACTTTTGATAGAATATTTCCATCTAGGCTTCTCTACAGGTGACCTATATTGCTGACGATGATGATGATGATGATGAGTTTGGTGTTTTATGGCGCAAAAGCCAGTTTTGGCTATACTGCGCCAAACATTCATAGGTCTGTATTCTGGACGGGAAAAGAAGAAAAGGAGAAATTGGATGACAAGATGGAGGGTTGAAAATAGAGAAAGATCACTGGGGTACCCCTGGGTCTTGACACTCGTGTTTACCAAAGATAGTAAACCCCTTGGGAAAAGGAAAAGATCACTAGGGTACCTCGGGATTGTGACACCCGTACCCACCTAAAGAAGGTGAGCCCCCTGAGAGGGACCTATTGGCGACATTATACGAAATGAAACACATGGTTACTAATTCCTTGCGTATGAAACATTGGATTGGAACCAAAACCCTCATGTAGCTGAACATTGCGACGCTAAAATTCCCTCACTCACGCGACATTATTAGGAATCGTACTCGTATATGTATGAATTCATAAGAGACAAGATGGAGGAAAGAAAGAAGGGAAGAAAAAAAGTCTGTTCTGACTATTTTAAAGTCAATTTCAACCCATTTTGCCATCAAAATCTGACTTTCGAATTTTTAGAAATTCAAAACGTTTTTTTTTTTTTTTTTTTTAAATAAAATACGTCAATCAATTTTTTTATTTTTTTTTCGTGATAATTTGTTATGGTGTAATGGGCTAAACTATTTTCGTGCAGAAGATAAATTAAATCACGTGTTCTGCATTGAATTTATATATATATATGTATATATATATGATGAAAGAGAAGAGAGAGATGTTAACCAAACTCAGAAAATATCATGGGATAAATTATATTCAGATTAATGCAGATCATTCATGACATACTTGCTCAAAGAGACTAAGTCTACTAGAGGAATAAAGTTGAAAGTAACTTTTACTGGTCCCTCGAGATTGAACATTTTTTTTTCAGCGTCTGGAATTTTAAATTAATTCGATACATCTCTTTTGCTGGCTTATGTAAACGTAAGGAAAATTGCTTTGATACCATGACTTTTTGTTTTATTTAAAATTATTTATCCTCTAATAGTTTCTTTAACTAAGCGAAATTCTTTCTAAATTGAAAAAAAAAGTTTTTTTGGTTATTAAAAAAATTTGAGAAGTAAATGTTTTTAAAAGATAGAATTGCAAAGTAATAACACTATTGAGAATGAAAGATAAAGACATATGTTTCAATAAACATATAACATACACAAAATCGTAATTTTGGAACACTTAAACTAATATTGAAAGAAACCAAATTCTCTTAAAATGTGTATTTTACCAAAAGTATATCGTATTGGAATATTTCCTTCTCTCATAGAGATAAAAGCAAGTAAAAGTGTTTTAAAACTAAAATAAAAATACCTAGCAACACTACCAAAAATACTTGAAAATCACTAATCACATATTTAAAAAAATATTTGCTTGTACGCTGTTGTAAAATCATGATTCTGAATGTGGTATGGAAGTTTGGAGAGTGGGTTTCCAACACTGGCATTGGCCTCATGACTTCAAAAATGGCTCAAAATTACGAAGTCTGTTGCCAATAGACCTTGGATGTTACATACAGTGACATTATTGAACAATCGAACAATTAATTTTGGTTAATGTAATTCATATTATAGATAAATATAAAAGCTTTATGTATATATATATTACAAAAAAAGCAATCTTTATCCCTTGTGGATGCACAATTTATTTTGTGTTTTTTTTTCATTTTGTTAGATATATAGATATGTTTTGTATTAACAGCAGTTGAACATCTTTAGTCTACAATTAAGAGTGGTTTTCCTTATGAGGTCCATTTTTTTTTCTTTCCCCTCTGAATTTCAATCAAAAACAGCCAATATATCTAAACAAGATATATATATATATAAACTAAGTCAATACCTACTTAGGTCAACAAAGAAAATATTTATTTTAGTTATTTTTAATTAAATAATTACAATTAATATAAATACGTATATACACATGTGACAGAATCCAAATAATAAGTGGCAAAATAGAAAGCAATTTTCCTAGAATTTTCCATTTTCCTTTACATATAGGGTGCTGGACTATTTTTTTGTTACGATTTATTCATTAATTAAATTTAATTATTCTTATAAAATAGTATAGCAAAAAGAAATTACATTCTCAGAAATTAGGACATCCCAGTTGGGACTCGAACCCACGAACTTTGGATTAAAAATCCAACGCGCTATCCATTGCGTTACAGGGATACAGCCTGCGATTTTCCTATTTATTTATGGTGCTGGACTATCTATCATTTTTGTTTGCTACTATTTATTCATTAATTCAATTCAATTAATAAATTATTACTTGAAAAAAAAAAACTGTGTTAACATCAATTGTCATCCACTACAAGTTCAGAAAACTTGAGAACTTCAGTGGATAAATAAAAAGTATTTTATCAATGACTAAAATTTGAACAAGATACAGTAAGACCCCGCTTAACGCTGTTTCGATTTAACGCTCTTTTATTTGAATTGTGGGATTCCCCGAAATAGCACGCACGGTTAGGCTTCCCGATATCCGAAGCAGTTTATCTGTGTTTCTTCTTTCCGGCGATATTATACGAAAGTATTTTTATCGTTTCAAACATGTTTTGACGTTATTGTAAGTATAAATTTATATAATATAACGATTGCTATAGTGACAAATATTATGAGTTTTAGTTTTTATCATGGGTGATAATAAAAAACACCAAAATAAAGCATGAAAAAAGCATTTCACTAGAAACTAAAATGCAAGTGATTAGAAGATTAGATACTGGTGAACGTCAATCTCAAATTGGTACTGCATTGAATTTGGCAACTTCAACAATAAGAACCATTCTTAAGAATAAAGTAAAAATACAGTCATCGGTAACTGCAACTACGACAAGCTCTGCAACTATAATTACCCGTTCTAGAAATAATACAATAGAGGAAATGGAAAAACGACTTTCTGTATGAATTGATGACGAAACTGAACGCAAAATGTCATTAAGCCAATCTATCTTCTTGATAAAATGGCAGAAAATTGGAAATACAGAAGAGACTGAATGATCTGAAATGTAAACATACTGACTTAAAATTTTATTTATTTTTATATGCATATTCGTTTATTATGTTTCTATATTTGTAAGAAATAAATTTTTGTCTTATTGTTATAAAAAACATAATTATTAAATTAAATGGTAAAATACCTGACTAATTTTCTACCCATCTTCCCCTAACCCCATTATTTACATGATGAGATAATCTCTTTTAACGCTGTTTCAAATTACGCTCTACTTTGATGGAACGTATACCCCGCGTTAAGAGGGGTCATACTGTATATATATATAAATGGAGAGAGTAAACTTAGCTCAGGAATTGAAAAATAGACTTGGGTTTCAAATTCTCTAAATTTCTTATCATATTGTTCCAAAAATCAAAGTAAAAAAAAACACAGATATAAAAAAAATTTAAAAGAAAAAGAATGATGTCCTTTAAAAACAAGAATAAAAAACAAAACAAAAAAACTTGCAGGTGAATTTAAAAGAAATCAACAATCATGTTTCAATTTTTTTTAATGTAAAATGATGCTATTGTGATGCAGGGTCTTATAAAAACATTCATTTAAAATAAATTTGAATTTTCTTTAGCGATAATATGCTTTTGAGAGTCATTGAAAAAATCGGCAAAGCTTTCTAAGCAATTAATATTTGTATAAGGTAGAAACAATATCATTCGAATTAATATATAATATTCTAAGCGAAATTCGGGTAAATATTCAGTAAATATTAACCATAAAAATTTTTTTTAAAAAAAATAGCGAATTTGTTAAGAAATATTAAACAAAACAAAAAGAACGGTTTTATATAAATAGTGCTTTGTATTCAAGTAAGAAATGAAGTTATTAGCTTTAAGGGCTATTGTATGGTATTATTGTCTTTACAACCACCATACACCATCATTTTTTTGTTTTATTTTGAATTTAAAATATTGAAATATAAAACTACATATTTCTAAAAATAATTTTAGTTGTATTTATGTGATACAGAAAGGAATTTAAACTAACTGAAACTGAATGAAATTCAACAACTATAGTTTTTATATTTTACTTTAATTCGAGTGGTCTTTTAGACAATGCCACAGCAGTTGAGTGATTAAATCCATCCACAGGATCATAAGGTTACTAAAAGTAAATATTAGTATGTAACTTTTTTTTAGTGTGCTTAGACATAAAATAAGTAAAAAATATTAAGAAAAACATAACAGAGTGTAGTTTTCTTTGGATCGAAGTGACAATTCAGTTTGAATAAATTTGTGGTTTTATCAGGCAGTTTTTTTTTATTTATTAAAATATAATTTATTATTGCACGAAAGTATATGTACCAAATAATATAAACCATGTGATAAAACCAGTGATATATTATTAAACGACGCAATAAACGGAAATAAGAATACAACCTGCGAATGTTTCCTCATTGGTGCCAATTGATTTCAGTCTTTTTTTTTACTTAAAAGTTCCTGTTTATGTAACTGCGTTTGGCATTAATTCTATTTTGACATTCAATATAAATAAGGCAGATAAATAAGGTTATAATTAAATACGACAATCATCCCTTTTACAATGGAAAAAAAATGTTTTTCCTTAGTCATGAAAAGACTAAAGGTTAGGAAACTCGGCTAAAATTCTCTCTCTGTTCATACTCTCCATTCCCTATATATAAACCGCACAAAACGCCAAAACTCTCGAAATGTAGTTGCATAAACGCGTAAGTTAGAGAATTTTTAAATATATCAACTGCATCTATAGAATATAAAAGCGATTCCATTCACCGAGCGCAAAATAGAGAAATTCTTTAATACCTATCTCAGCTGACTCAAAACGAAAACTGGAAAATAAAAGAATGACCACTAAGCTAAAATTTCGCTTTGATGCTATTCTCCAAGAACTATAACTGGCGAAAAAAACAAGACCTGTTTTCGCTGACGTGACTTCATTCTTAATTTTCGACATTTCACGAACTCCAAGAATTGGGCTGGAGAGAGAACTGCTTTCCCTTACCATAAAAGATAAATCCTAAAGAGATTGAGTTGGATAAGAGGCCATATTTCTTTTTCCTCCAGAAGAAAAGCAGAAAAAAATATAAGGATGATCCAAGGGCTTAACGAGGCAGAGAGGAAATACTGCTCAAAGCGCTCTTTTCTCTCTTTTCCTTTTAGGAGCGAGAATGACTCGTTTAGAGGACGGACAAGAGAGAGAGAGAGAGAGACTGTTACATTACTTTACTTGATCTTGAGGAAAGTTTGTTTTCTTATTTTTTCTGTTACTTCCCGTACGACAAAAGTACATTCGGACTATAACATCCAGCATAAAAGAGGCAAAATGTTGAAAATGATTTTAAACTAAATTTACAAAAGGGTACAAGGATTTTGCTCATTTTATCCACTGTCATTCTCATGAATACATGAGTGTAGTAGGGTGGGTCCGGACATATGGAGAAAAAAAATTATGAATCAGTACTGAACTATGCGAAAAAGACATTCTATTGTATAGAGAAAAATAATTGAAAAAGGATAATTTCAAAATTTAATATTGCCACAAAGGGGTTGAGTTTTCGAAAAATATGAAAAAGAAGCCAAATTTTAGCTAGGGATTTTAGACTTTAAATAAAATATGATTTTTCTACTATATAAATAACCACAAACGATAAAACTCATTTTGAGTACCTACATTTCAGTATTTCATAATTCCAGCTCCCTCTTCCCGCACCTTCGAATCAGGCCGAACAAAGCATTTTTCCGTCTTCCGCTTTATTGTGCAGTGTAATACCGAAAATAGGGAAGAAGGGGGAGGGGGTAAAAGGGAGGTTGTGAAATCTTGAAAAATAATTTTTCTGTCAACTCTAATGTGTAGTACCTTTTTTATTTTGCATATATTGCAAGATTTTGCAGGTTCATTTTTAAAATTACATAATAAATGTTGTTCTGATATATGATTATTCAAACAACTACTTGTTCAAATAAATTTCTGAAAAATTTGGTGCCTTATAAATAGGAATTCATAATAAGTAAATTTATACACGCAAACAATTAATTATAGACATAACTATTTTCTTCGTAAATTTATTAGGAATTTTATTTTTTTCCTGCGCGTATTGTTAAAAAATGGGCATTATACAAATGTTCTGAATTCAGTTACAAATGATCTGTAGTAAGACTTTAAACACGCCTGCACTTATTAATACTATGCAGTTGATTCGTTTTCAAATGCCGGAAGTCCATGAAAACAAACAGGTTCTTTTGAAGTAGATTGGCATTTATTCTGGAACTTTCTTGTAAGTTTTTTTTTTCAAATAGAAAACAATTATTATACACATATAAATACATAATATCAGAAATTTAATATTTACACAAATACAGAGCCTAGCGATTCCAATCTGTTGTCACAATGCCGCAAATTAAACAATTAATCGTTGCCAAATTTTGATTTCAATATTGCTTCCCTACATCATCTATGTATTTTTCTTTTTTTCAAAGGAAGTAATGGATAGGTAATTGGCAAATTTAGTACATTCCCCAGGAGATGATATCACTTTTTAATGGGGCCCAATATAGGTGTATACTAATTGCCATAATGAAATTTTGACACCCATTTTCCTCTCCAGAGATGAGCTCTGACGATGCGAAATTGCACTAGAATTTTGATTTTGCAGAGATTATTAAAGCCAAACACACACACATGCACTCTGCATAATCATACGACATGGACGCTATCCATTTTTTGCATCATGAAAATTCAGCGGTTTTGACCGGGGTCGAACCCACGATCTTGATCGTACAAGGCCAGCACCTAACCAATTATGCCACCCAGCCGGTGCATCGTCTATATAAAAAAATGATTAGAAATCATAGAAATTAGGAAGATTATTTCCCATTCTACTTATAGCATCGTCTTTTTATAGAATGGAAAATAATAATCTTTTAATTTCTTTCATCTAATAACCATCCTACACATTTCTAGATTTATCTTAGGAAATCTTTTTGTGTCATCAAAATTTTTTAATGTGGTAAAATCAAATTTTTCGCCCTTCAAGGTCTGCCTTAACACACACACAAATATATGTACTCCCAGTAGACGTATTTGGAAAACGTTGTAAAGTTGCCCCCCCCCCTCCTTGGTGGGTGCCTTTCTCCTTGATTATCAGCGTGAGCTAGATGTGTAGGAATAATGAAAGAGCTAGAGG